TGAAAACAACCCCCCCCCCCCCCCCCCAAAAAAAAAAAAAACTATACATATAAAACCACACATCCAAACCCACTCTAAACATACAAAAACTCATCCACACATGCTCTAATAGACAGTTGAAACTCAAATAATCAAATATTAGGGTTTAGGTTTGGGTTTAGAGAAAGAAGAAGAAAGAGAAAAGGTAAAGAGATTGAAAAAATAATGAGGATGTATGTGACCAATACCCTACCACATATTTATATTAAATTGATATTGCGAACAATTACAATATTAACAAAGTAACACGTAATAAGAAAGCAACATAATAGGAAAGTAGATCTCCAACACTCCCCCTCAAGCTAGAACATAGAGATAAAAAATGCCTAGCTTGGAACAAATGTTAGTAAAGGTGGACCGCGCCAATAGTTTGGTAAGAATATGATCAAATTGATCACCAAACTTAACATAAGGAGTGATAATCTCCTTACACATTAAGAGATCCCGAATAAAATGATAATAAACTTCGATGTGTTTGGTACGCTCATAAAACATTGGATCACTGACAATAAAAATGGTTGTCTGATTGTTACAATGCATTTTCATAGGAGATGACACATCAACACCCATCTTCCACATGTAGTATGAGTCATGTCACGACAATCAGCCTCTGCACTAGAACATGCCACCAATTTTGCTTCTTACTATGCCAAGAAACAAGTTTACTACCAAAACATGCACAATAACAAAAAATAGATCTCTTATCAACACGACTACCTATCCAGCTTGCATCGGAAAATCTAGTAACAATTAAGGATAACGACGGCTGACATAACAATCATCTATCTAGTGCTCCTTTCAAATATCGAAGAATACGACAGATAGCCTCCCAATAAGGTTTACGAGGAGTATGCATAAACTTACTAACAACACCAATAACATAAGTAATGTTAAGACGTGTACATGTGAGATAAATCAGTTTACCAACCAACCTCTGTTAACTCCCAGTATCTTCAAAAATATCTCTACTTTTAGTATCCAATTTAACCGTTAGATCCACTGGGGTATCAGCTAGGCGTGCATCAAGGGTACCTATTTCAAAGAGTAAATCTAAGACATACTTCTTTTGGCGGCTACTTCAATGCCAAGAATGTATTGAAGAAGGCCTAAGTCTTTGGTGTGAAACTATCTTCCTAAATAGGCCTTAAAATGAGCAATACCAGTTGAGTCATAGGCACTAATAATAATATTATCAACATAAACAATGAGAATAATGACACTTGAGGTGGATTTGCGTGTTAACATAGAATAGTCTAAATTAGAGTGTTGAAAGTTATATTTCAAATACAACCACAATAAACTTATCAAACTAAGAACGTGGTGATTAATTTAGCCCATATAATGCTTTCTTCAACTGACCATAAATACTTCTTGTTGTAGATCCCCGTGTAAAAAATCATTCTTTACAAAGGCCAATCCAAACTCACTGCAACAGAAACTAAAACTCTAATAGAGTTTAGACAAGCAACAAGAGAAAAGGTCTCACAATAATCTACACCATATGTTTGAGTATTGCCCATGACAATCAACTTCGCCTTTAAATGCTCAACAGAATCATCGGGAAGATACTTCACAATATACACCCACCAACAACTAATAGGTTGCTTTATAAGAGGGGACTCTTAGTGAGACTACTCTTTATAATATCATTATAAAAGTTTTAACTATAAGATTAAGGGAGACTATTTCGAAGTGTCAGGGTGCTTTTGTACAAGGTTGACAAATTATGGATATTACTTTGATGGCTAATGAGATGATTGAAAATTATAAAGTTAGAGGGAATGAGGGTTTTATTTTTATAATCAATTTTGAGAAGACCTATGATCATGTGGATTGGGACTTTTTGGATTATGTTTTGGAGGCAAAGGATTTTGAGATAGATAGAGGAGGTAGATTTTGGGATGTTTGCATTCTATGAACTTCTCAATATGATAAATGGAAAGCCTATGGGTAAGTTTAAAGCTACTAAATTATCAAGGCAAGGTGATTCATTATCACCTTTTCTTTTTACTCTAGGTGCTAATGGCTTGAGTATTTTAGTGAAAATAGCGAAAAGATGTAATCTAGTTGATAGAGGTTACACACTTGTAATTTGCTGATGATACAATATTTTTTTTAATGGGAGATAAGGAGAAAACCTTAAATTTTAAGAATATTGTAGAGGTGTTCAGCATTGTTTCTGGATTAAAGGTGAATATGGAAAAAAATATACTCGTGAGTATAAATTCAAATCACGATAAGGGTGTAAAGCGGGTAAGTGGCCAGTAAAGTAATTAAGTTTACCATTGGTTGGGAATCCTTTGTCAATTTATTTTTGGGACCCAATGGTGGAGAGAGTGGAAAAAATATTAAATGGGTGGAAGAGAGCTTTTATTTCTAATTGGAGTCTGTTAACTTTTGCACAGTCAGTTTTAACAAGTACTCCCACGTATTTTTTGTCTCTGGTTAGGATTACTGTTAAGATTACTATGAAGATTGAAAAAATGATGAAGAATTTCCTATGAGAAGGAAGTGGTAAAGAGAAGAACGATTATTTGGTTAATTGGGAGGTGGTTACTAAGGTTAAAGGAGTTCTATCAATTGGTAATTTGAGGGCAAAAAAATGTTGATTTAGTGGGTAAGTGACTATGGAGATTTCCTTTGGAACAAAATGTCGTATGACATTTAGTTATTAAGAGTAAATAGGGGTTATAGACCAATGGATAGGGCACTAATAGGATTGATAGGGGAAGTTTCCAATGTCTGTGGAAATTTATTTTTCAAGGATGGATGAGATTTTCTCTAAAAAAATATTAGGATGGTGGTGGGAATGGGATGAGAGTTCTTACCATGATGGGATCATTGCTTCTATGATTAGATCTTATAGCAAACTGTATTCTTGGGATCTTGACTTTCGTAAGAATCTTGATGATAGAGATATGAGTGATGTGATAAGTCATTTGAATACAGTTCATGATTCCTTGTTATGCCAAGTGTCATAAAACAGAAGAACCAGGATCCTAGAGTCGTCGGGTTTTTTTTCCTTGTAAATCTTTTTATGAGCCACTTATTGATGATTCTTCTCATTCATTTTTTATTCTATAATGATTTGGAAAACAAAAGTGTTGATTAAAGTGCAAGTTTTTGCATTAACTATTGCACATGGCAAGAATATTGCTGATATGCTCCAAAAGAGGAGGCCTCATTCTTGTCTTGGTCCGCAATGGTGTGTTATATGTAAAGGGGATTATGAAAGCATAGATAATTTATTCTTAGAGGAATAGGATTTTCCAAAGCAGATCCCAAATAATTGGCACAAAATTTTTTGTTTTGAAAAAAAAATAAAGTTAAAAAGTTTGGAGATTGTCTAAAAGATTACAAAAAGTTTCACTTCATTATTGATCGTTTTGGAAAGAAAAGAAGATGGGCAGACAAGGAAACGACAATCTTTGAAGGAAATCTAAGGTGCAATATTTAGAATCTTTGAAGGAAAA